ATGCCTACCAAAACCAAGGTTTTGGTAGGCATGGTCTTCCATCCAAACTACACCATTCCCCATCATCCGTGTAAACACATCCATCTTTCCTCCAAATACGCTTCTCAGCATCAGTTGAAAAGGACTGCATTTCATGCAATGTGACCTCTGAAGGTGAAGGCAGGCAAAGGTTAATGGAGCAGACATGTAATGGTTGTAATGCAGCAGCCTTTGCAGCAGCATTCTCTCTAGAAACAAAGTCAGAGAAGCCTGTGTGGGCAGAGCATTTCACAACAGCTATTTCTTTGGGAAGCAGAATAGCATCTAATAACTCTGCTACCTGGGTGGCATTTCAGATAAATTTCCCATCTGATTTCAAAAAGGAACGATGTTTCCAAATTATGAACAATTTCAAATGCATATCTTGAAACGTTTGCCTTTTGCCAATTTACATGCTTCTGTTAGTGCCACAAGCTCAGCTGTCTGTGCTGAAAAGTGTAGCGGAAGCTGCCCAGAAGAAACTATTTCAAATTTAGTACACACAGCATAGCCCACACAATTTATCCCGGTATCTGATCTGAAGGAGAAACCATCCACAAAGAAAACAAAGTCAGGGTTAGCAAGAGGCATGTCTGTTAAGTCAGGTCGCGGCGTACAGACAATGTCTAAAACAGAGGAGCAGTCATGTGGCTCCCATCCTCCTCTGTTGGCAGCAGCATGGCTGGATTCAACACAGTACAACGTTTACCTGTACTGTTTAGCATGTCCAATAATATCAATGAGAAACAAAGTCAGCATGCTGCAAAAGAGAATGATATTTCATGTTCAAGCAGGATGATGGTTACAGACTCCAACACATAACAATGAAGGTGCTGCAGTCCACAATGTTCTGTGAGGCCAGAACAACTTTCCAGCTGCATTCACAGGTCCAAGAAAATCAGGGAAGCCCTGCTGCAACTGGACCAAGTTTAGAAGAGTAACAAAGTTTGTCACTGTGAGATTGCAGCAGATTACATGAACTCCCTCTTCCACTTCCACCATTTTCACACAGACTTATCAGGGTCAAGCAGAACCAAAGCAGGAACACTAAGTAGTGCTCTTTTCAACACCTCAACTCTTCTCCCGCTTTCAGTAGTCAGGCAATAGCACTGTAAGCTGTGAGGCCACACCCATTGATTAGAGAAGAAAGTGGAGCCTCAAGGTTTAAGTAGTAAGAAGGAAAAGTCCTCATTAAGATTGGTTCCTAAGAGTGGTATCATTTGCCCTGGGTCTGTGGTCTGGGAGCAGCTCAGCTTGCTAAAAAGATAGAGACTGATTATTTTTAAGATGACATGACCCAGTAAAGTCACCTGTACCTTTGCACACTGCGGCTTCAACGAGAAGCCTTATGACCCTTAAAAGAGCAGTTTTAAAGGTGTCCTCCCTACATTGTTCCTTATTAGTCCTGCAGATCAGGAAGTCATTTACATACTGCTGGAAAACAGAATCTTCACTTAGACCAAGGTTATCAAGAGATTCCTTTTTTTCTACCCCGTGAACAAACAATTTTTTCAAGGTCTAGAAATGCAAGAACTGTCACCCAAGAATGAGACCTTTTAAGATCACAGAAGGCTCGCTCTGCCCCGAGAGTCCAAAAGATTTATTATAAGTTAAAAAGTCCTTTATATTCGTTGAAGAGGAAAGGAAAGCCTTCAAAATAACAAATCTTCCCACATAAAAATGACCATCCTGAAGACAACTAAAATCTCAAATCCTCTAATGTAACATTTCCTCAAAAACTTAAAAGTTGTCAAACAGTTTCAAACTTTTACTCTAAAAAAATCACTTTGAACGCACAATCACACACTCATTCACTTCAACATGGAAACAGACACAAAAGATACAGTGGTCAGATTTGCAGTCAGTCAAAAAATTTTCAGTCAGTCCTCAATTTGTTTCTTTCCTCAAATTTTAATAATCAATTTGTACTGCAGTTTCATAAATTTTCCAATTTTCCTTTAACTATATTTTTTGAATGATTTGCTTGGTCTCTAATCTTCAGGATCATATTTAGAGATATGTCCACATTCAAAAAAGATATATCAACATATGTTTTTGGATTCCGCAACAAACTAATCAATTTTCTGTTGCTGAAACATTTCACCAATTTTAATAAACTCCATTTTCTGTTATAATATTAAAATCTAATTTAACTGTTCAACTCAAAGGCAAACACACAATTTATGCTATATGAATAATCTTCAACACTTAAAAAGATATATTTTAATTTCAAACAAATTCCTTCAAGCTAAAAAAAAACTGTCAGCTGGTTTCCAAAACTTAGAAATAGTCTGGAACATTTTATTTATTTATTTATTTTTTTCAGGACTGTAATTCAATAATTCTCACTGATAACATTTTTATTTTCCATTACTAGTTTTTTTTTAATAATTGCCCTTTTTCTCTTAAAAGGAAACAAAACAAACAGAATAATTTATTTCAACATAATCTGAACCTTCAAGGTGACTATTTTCCAAAACATCCCATATTATATCTCTAAAACCCATAATTCAGTTATAATGTTCAATGTTTGTTTTTTTTGTTTGTTTGTTTGTTTGATTTTTTTGTTTTTTGGTGGAATTCCATGGCATAATTAATAAGCTCATTGCAGAACTTAAATGTTTTCAGTTTCACTTCACAGTTACCTAATCTATGGCTATTGTTCAGGACTCAGAGGTAACCTGTACAAGCTTAGAGAACTTCTCTAATATTGAGCATTAAGACATCTATTGAGACATTCCTATATGTGAACAGGTTAGTAAGCAAGCATTCTTCATTGCAGTGGCAGTGTGTGCATAACTTATCTTGAATGTCTCGTCTCTCTCATTCGCCCTCCTGCTGCTGGCGTCGCTGCAGCGTAATCCTCCCCCTTCTCTCCTCCTCCAGCTTCTTGTCAGTCTAACTGGTTCTGGTGTTTGATCTTTGGGTTGTCCACACTGTCCCTCAGCCAATGTCCATATTGTCCACAAATGAAACAAGCTTCAAACAGTTCAGTGTGGTGTCATCTTCTCCTCACGTCTCTGAATAAAATATTTTCCTTCCCACGATGGTGGGATGATGCTTGCAATGCTGAAAGGATTTTCCCCGAGCCTTTATTGTTGATTCAATTCCTGCTCCGTCTGCCTCTGTTGTTGTGTCCTTGGCCAAGACATTTCACTTGTCTTGCCTGCTTGTGATGGTCAGAGTCTCTGGCTTCTGTCAGACTTCCCCCAGAGCAGCTGTAGCCATGGGTCAGTAGGTTGCCACCATCATCCATATGCTGCAGAGCACCAGTTCCAATCCGAATGTCCAGCAAGAGACCTCATGAGTTTTCTCATGGTAGTCTCCTGCATGAGAAGGTTCCATCAGTCATCAGTTCCCAGATGTCAGCAGACACTTCAGTGCCTGGAGGTGATGTAGATCTTCTTGATCTTGTGGATCTTGTTGATCACTTTTATCAGTTAGTAATGTAAGAGGGATATCATCTAGTCCAGAGGACGACAAGTTTGAGGAGTTGAGGTCAGAGGTCAGATGCACTGCAGTGAGGCTCAGACAGAGGGAAAAGGAAAAAGAAATGAAAGTCCATTAGATTTGTTTTTTCTTATATAGTTTTTAGCCATCTATTTTTCCTCCAAAAATGTAAGAACTCATAAATAATTTACTTATTCAAACACATAAACATAAATCATATTAAAGCCTGTAACGTCTTTCATGAACTCAAACATTTCAGCCTGAGGAGGAGATGATTCCCTGGAACCATTTAAACCCATTTCTTCCATAACCTGGTTCCAAACTAAACCCTAAGGTTTAAAAGCAAATGTTAGATTTCACAATTTATGTTTTAAGTTATTCCATTAGTCTTAGTTATCTCACCAGATAACAATGATCCCAGTGCTGGAGCCGTAGAACCCAACAAGCAGCCCTCTTCTCATTAAAGCCTAAGTGAGGTATGAGGCTGGATAATGTCCAGGTCGGTACCTTAACACTGCTTGTCAACCTCCCCGGATGTCCATTCAAGGGAACACAATACCATTTATTATTTTCTTTGCACCCTGTTACTGCTCCGCTTAAAATCTTTCCCCTGGCATACCAGGACTTATCTTTTTCTTTTCTCTGCATCTTGCTTCTTCCATCCACAAACTCATACATTTATCATCCTTTCTTTCCAACATTTCTATCTTAACCTGCTTTTCTTTTCCTCTTTCTCCCACTTCATTTCAAAATTCTTCACTCATCCCGACTGGTCTTCACACTCAAACATCCTTCCCCGTATTTCTTATTGTCATACTTGGTAATGAGTCAGACTGCTGTGAACCTTTTGAAGATCTAGATCCCATTTTAACCTTTCAGGGAGACGTCTCTCCTCTGGCCTTCATTCCTTAAGGTGTAGAAGTGCTAAGAACCACCCTTTTTTATCACCCTTTGTGATAAAAATTTTTTCCAAACTCCCTTTGAGTTGAACCTAACTCCCCTTTGGAGTTTCTCACAGGATCACAGCCCTCCGAGTCAAACCCAGTAATAATCATGAAACAGTTCTCACCTGATGGAGATCACTAAGGTCCTTTACGGATCCAGGCGGTCAGCAGCCGTGGAGACGAGACCTCAGATTCCCCTCATTAGAGGTGGACTGAAGACAGACTCCTCAGGTTGGCCAATACATCCGGTCTCATGTCGCCCACGATCTCCTGACACGCTGGATCCCATTTCTGACACCAGAATGTTATGGAAATTTCATTATCAAGGAATGAGAATCTGTTTCAATAATAAGAGAAAGATTAATCTTTGTCTTTAAGTTTCTTTATTCGAAGGCAAAAGCATTCGAAGACCCTTCTCACTGAGCGCAGTCAGGAGAAGAGCCCCGAGCAACACGCATCACATCGTTATATAGTCACAGCAAGACAAAGACCCACCCAAAGTCTGATGTTATCTCTACAGCCAGATGGCCACAGAGACACCCTGACCCCCTCTTCATGAACTATCTCTCACCTCTTGGAGGAGATGATTTTATGGCAGGATGGAGAGCTGATAAGGATTTCAGGAGGAACTTCTAACACTTCTTTGTCAGTTCATGGGGTCAGGTCAAACAGGGTACAAACTCCTTTAAGACAATTATCAGATCAAGCATTTTACCCAAGATGTCTTCAGGTCTCTTCTGCTATCACGGCTGCGGAAACATCTAAACATTATCTGCAAACTTATTTAATGGACAAACACATCTTGCAGAAATACAAAAACAAAGCAGATATAATCAGTAAATAAATGGTAAAAAGTATCATCAGTTCCTTCAAGAATGAAATAAGACTGAAAACGAAATTTTCTATTACAGTGTGCAGCTGCTCCACCTGCAGTGAACTCTCACACCGAATGTCTGCTTAAAGCTGCAGCCTCTAACTTAAACTAACACAATATTTTACATATGTATTAAAACTTTCTCTATGTCCTAACATAAAACAGATAACCTCTGGAAAAATAGTCGATCTGTTCTGCCTCCTCCATGTGTTCTGCAGAATTACTCAGCTCGGTCAGAACCCACCAATCAGAACCAGCATTAATCAGCTAGCCATGCTCACAGGAAGTTTTGATTTTGTAATTAAGGATTGTTTATTTTCATGCAACCTGCATTTGACTTTGAATGAATGTTTCTTTTTTACTTGACATTATTTGATATAGACAGTGTTGCGAGATTTATTTGACTCATGTATAATTTATGGTACTGAGAGCCTTACTGTTAAATATTGTTTTACTGATTGCAGGTTTTTCAGTTTTCCTTTTGACTGAATAGCTGCTGTATTGTGTCTGCAAATATTTTGCATGTTTATGTCTAAGTTAGGTGAATTTATTACCAGATCATTTTTTCCATTTTGCCAGATCACATAGTAGCATTTATACATAACACAAAAAATTAACAGCCAATTCAGGTGATGGCCAAAGATCGGTGACCGGCAGTGATCGGCCCTCATGAGTGATCGGTATCAGAATCGGCAGCAAAAAACCTGATCGGAGCTTCCCTAATATTTTCATAAGTTCAGCCTCAGGTCATTACTGTCTCTTGTAAAAGTATTCTCACCCTTTGTTTTCTTTTCCCGACATTTTGTCCCGTTACAGACACAAACTTCATTGCATTTTCCTGAAACTTTATGTGACAGATCATCATAAATAAAAGGAAAATAATAAGGCTAGAACTAATGACTATTTTAGTAAAAATTATTTTGGTTGATCAGCTAATCCAATAAAAAAATTTGGTGCAGATTTTCTATCTCGGATCAAGCTTATTTTATGTAATATTATTATGCATTAAAAGATAGATATAAAGAAATAATTAAAGTCCTTTTTAATGACAAATGAAACATTTTATTGCTTATAATGCAACAATGCAGCATTCCTTTAGTTTCTGATTGATCATTTGTAGCAGTATGCATCTGCAGATAAAATATATTTCTTACATCAACATGTGAAATTTAAGACATTTCTGCTGAACTTAACATGAACCATTTAATAACATTTTATTTATTACATCATTTGAACCAGGTGAAGATTAAAGTGTGGGTGTTCTGGGCAGAACATATTTATAGAATTTAATTTTTATCTTAAATGCAAACTTAAATGCAGACTTTTAAACAGTTTTGGTTTAACTACAGCTCTGAGTATTTTGTTCTTCCAGCCTTTTTCTGAATCTGTTTACTCCAGTTAACAATTAATCGATTACCAAATTAGTTGAGGATTATTTCAATAATCTTTTCATCATGATTAATTTGATTAATGGTTTCAACCCTAGAAAATAATACAGTATTTTCATTTAAAACAATAAAATAAAAATCTGAAAAGTGTGGCTTTCATTTGCATTCTCTTTGTTACTCTAGCGCAGTGGTTCTTAACCTGGGTTCGATCGAACCCCAGGGGTTCGGCGGAGCCTCTGCCGCGGAGGTAAAGACACACTTGT